AATGATAATCACACGTTTTATTTCACATATTCACCAATTGAATCATAAGTTAAAAGTTCATTACCTCATAAATGTAATTAAAGTGAGGATTCGAACACAGCCTTTTTTAAATCTAAAGTAAACATTGGGAGGTTTCTATGGAAATAATTTTGCACTTTCATATGTGACATAAATAGCTATTTACTCATGCATGTGGCTAGAGTTGTATAAATTTACCAGAATGCCTGAAATATGTTTGGATTATTTAATAAAACCAATTATTTCACCTTTTGATTCAGAGAAGATCTAAATGTCATCCTGTATGATTATCTATTATGAGCTGCATCCCCAGTCCTTTATTATTATTATTATTATTATTATTATTATTATTATTATTATTTATTTTACAAGGTCTTACTAAGTTGCTGAGGATCTCACTACATTGGTAAAGATAGCTTCAAATTTGCAATCTTCCTAAACCTACTGAGTCACTAGGATTTCAGACCTTTGCCACCATGTCTGGCTGTCAACACTTTTTTTTTTTTTAAGATAATGAAACAAGTAATTTCTTTTTAATTAAATGATTGAAATGTAATAAATTACATACCTAAATGATAGAAAATGCACAAATGACAGGTGTAAGTGAATATCTAAGAATGTTATTTAAGGTGTTATTCATAATAATGAGCTATTCTTTACTGCCACAGCTTCTGTCTTAACTATATGACTCCTAGAGTTTATTCTAATGGCAGTGGAAGACAGTTTCATTGTGAAAGTCCCAGTTCTAGCTAAAACTACAATTGTCTGTCCTTTGCCTTTTGGTAATTGTACAATGGGGCTCATTACATAAAAAAGATTTTCTCAGAAAAGCAATTGAATATATTAATTTAATTGCCATTCAAAGTTTATGGTCAGATTGGTCAGTCCTTTGAAGTGAAGTCTATTGAAAGGAAAGTGGATTGTCCTTTTAACAGAATCTTTTAACAGCATTCTAGATATTCTACAATATATATATTCAATATATTTTTAAATGATTGACATTTCCTATTATAAAATAATAGTAAAATAGATAGCAAATGTATGAACTCCACATGTACAAAATTATCTCAAATCAAATAAGCAATATTTTTTCAAATAATAAATAAAATATTAATTTGATACAAAAGTAAAAGACCTATGAATTTTTTTTCCTGTTAAATATTGAAATTCACTGTTGCCCTTCACTTCAGTGAGCACTATTTCACAGCAGTAGCAGAAGTTGTTTTTAGTCTTAAACACATAGATCATGATTGGAAAGATATTTATTTCTCTCTTTGATATTTGTTAAACAGTTTTATTTCAAAAATTTTACCTTGCCTTCAATATTTGAGAAGAAAAAAAATGTTTATTGTTAAATATTTACTTCTCTTCCAGCTCAAAACTCACATGTAAATTCTCACACTTTTTTTTTTTTTGGCTTTATAAATTCTGTTCCGTAAACCATGGTTGTAGCTTCAGTTTCGAGAAATTAATTTGAACTACCAAAAGAAAGACTAGGAAAACATTACAAGAAGGTCTATAACTTACCTGGTAATAAAAGATGATTTCCTGCATCTTGGGCATTTCCTTCTCTTCTCACCGCCTCTAGAATTTCCTCAGCACCATCCAAAAGCAGAGAGATTGAATCATTCAGCAGAAAGCACAAAGGTGCAAATATTAATACAAAAAAGTACCTTAGATATCTGAATATAAAATAATCCTAAATAAAAGGCATTATTCCCCAGAAGCTC